GAGTCGCCTATAACATTGTCATTAATGTGCTCTAAGCACTTATCCAGAAACATGTCAGTTCTGGGCTCATTATTGGTAGTTTACCAGGAATACATACATGCTATATTCTGTTAGGATTTATCTCTTTATTACCTCAGATCTGCCTGGCCCCTCCGGCCCATGCAAAAGCTTTACGTACACCTTAAACCTATAACCTCCCCTCGGACAAATAAAACAATCAAAGTTGTAAAACTGGAACAAAAGTAATTAAACATCAGCTAAGTGACACCGTCATTGTAAAGTTAGTGAGACTAGTCAAGTCCTTGCATCTACAGATGTGACTATAATGACGTGAATGCAGTTATGGAAACCAGTCTAGGGTGTAGAGTAGTTGCATTTTACTCATCTTTCATTGTGAACAATTCCTCTATTGGTGTCGCGGTCGTCAGATGGCCTATAAAACGATGATACATTGTGGTGATGTCTTTTTCCTCTTGTTATGCTTGTCCATTGGTTATCCTCTTCACCTCCGTCAGCAGAAACCCCATTGTAATTAATCAGGGATGGTTCCTAGCAGCATTCAAGACAAGAACCGTCACAAAACTCAGCAAACGTCTTCTTAAGTTAGTTAATCTAGTCCCAGTAAGGTGAGAAGCAACACTGTCCTTTAGCCTTCATCTCAGGTATCGACGTGAGTCCATGAGAGTCCAATCTTCATCTTTTTCCATCCTCACCCTTGGTCACCGTGCAACACCAGGAAGACTCGCACTCTGGCCGGACCAGACGTCCCCCGAACCGATCGCCTAGGGATTAAAGGTTATGCACAAAAATGTCCTAACTCTTACTGACCCTAGCCTCTGATACCTTCAACATCAGACACATACAGTTACAAACAGCAAGCACAATTAAAGGTACAGTGACATCATGACATGGACACACACGGACACACAAACACATACACATGCACATACACACACAGAGAGATAGAGAGAGAGAGCAAGAATGTGTGTGGGAGAAAAAATGAGTGGGATCCACTTTGCCACCAGCATCTCCACCTGTGTCACAGAGAAAAAATTGCAAAGAAATTAAAACATAAAGCAAACAACAATAATTCAATGAGTATAAATGACTCAACTAAAATATACAACCATGCATGGGTTTTTAAAACAGTTCCAGTAACACTGGAGATGATGCCTTGTACAATGAATTGTTAAGATGGTCTTCATCAATTAGAGATTATAACCGAATTGTTTCAGGATCCTGAATTTGAATTTGAATTGGTTAATTTACTCAGAATAGTCCAATGGCTTCGTTGATGTTTCTCAAGGCTCGGCCACGCCCATATAAATAAATAAACAAGCAAACAAAACAAACACAGTCAAGCACACGGTCCATACACGTCTCTGTGCCCTCACACACCAAGCAAATGTCAGACTGAAGCAAAAGTGTGAAATTCCTCACCTAAGTAGGCATGCATGTTAGTAATTACATCGAGAGCTTCCTTCCACTTCTTAAACACCTAGATTATTTCTGGAAAGTGCTCAAACTGCAAGAGCGAGACGCGCACAACTAAACTACTTATTCTCTCCAGTCTGTGTCTCCGCTTGGTTTAAATGAGCCACTTAACCGAACACTAAATCAGTGGAAAGAAAAAATAAGACCTAATGCGTGTGATCAGATTAATCCAACAAACCTTCCCATCACTACTGTTCTGAACTCATGTTACGGTGTGATCTCTCCAATTAGA